AAAAAAAAAAAAAAAAAAGGGAAACGATGCATAAGAAATGATTATTCTTGTGATTTCTTTTGAATTATTCATAGGCATCCATGTTTGTGCACTGATGACTCGTGACTTAATTAATCACCAGTGGTCATGATGGCAGACTTAATGGCAGCTGGGGTCCAATTTGGGTAGAGATTCTTCAAGAGGCCGACGACCCCAGCAACGTGTGGGCAAGACATAGAAGTACCAGATTCGGAATTGAACGTCACACGTCGCTTGTCAAAGTCTTCGCCTGTCGGTCCGACCACTCCGGTATATGCAGCTATGATGCTAAGTCCTGGTGCCGTGATATCCGGCTGAGAAGAATAAACTGTAATTAAGACATAATATATGACTAATTAATTAAACAAGATTTTACAAGGTTAAAATATTACTCAACCTTGAGAATTTCCGGCATAACGGTATTTGGCCCTTGCGATGAAAAAGTTGCCATTACTGGCGCAGGTTTTGTGTCTAAAAGTGTTTTTGGTTTGGTGATAAGAGCCATGGGAGACCTGCGCTTTGCCATCATATTTTCGACAATGTCATTTTACGGAAGCAGGTGGTGAAAGACAAGAATATATGTGATTTTTCTTCACCTTGTTTTATACATTTGAGATAAGAGAGCAAGTCCATCTTTGTAACTGATATGTGTAGCTGGCAAGACATGAGCATCGGCTAAGATCTCATTCCCAGAGGCCTTATCATTAGCTAAAACCATTCCCACAGCACCAGCTAAGGCTGCTTGCCGGCCCTTGTCGACCCTTGCAGTGATTCCCCTTAGACAAACCAAGATCTTCCCTTTCACCTTTTTAGCATCTAGAGATTCAGGTTCACACAACTCCCTGCATTTTATGTCATATTTCATTCATATTTCAACCTTTTCAAAATTAATAGAGTAAAATTTTGTTCCTCAAGCAAAAAAATGATGGAAAATTGAACATTAGCTCCTTATGTTTGATCCATTAATTTTGTTGAAAATTCAACAACTACATTACCACTTAGTCATTGGTTAGTTAACTAGTTGACGAAGGGTACCGATAATAAAGTTGAAAGTTGATTTTATTTGTCCAAAAAATGATTATAGAATAGGCGTCTTACGCTTGTTCTGCTGTTGCGTTAGAGGCATTTGCATATCTCGCATAAATTATGGCGAACCACTTTCCCTCTGGAAGCGATTTGTCTGAAAGGCTTTCTCCCTGCACATCAACTACTACTTTACACAAATGTCTATTTGCTTACTTTACTTTCAATTTTCACTTAAAAGGAAACAAACATAGAAAGGGAGACAACAATTAGATACACATTTACCTCGAATCGTTTGTTCCCTAATATTAAATAGCTAGGAAATTTTCGATCCATGGTGCTTGCGCCAACCGTGATCTGCCAAGGCGCAACGTTTTCAACCGTACCTTGGTTTGGCCCCGAATTACCAGCCGAAAAGACGACCACGATCCCTTTACTCACCGCGTGAAACGACCCGATGGCATTAACATCTTTAAAAAAGGGGATGGCACCACCACCTAGGGAGAGAGAGAGCACGTCGACTCCATCGTGGATTGCCATATCAATGGCCGCCATGATGTCAGCAATAAAGCACTCTCCTTTGCCGATGGGCGGCCAGCAGACCTTGTAGGCTGCTACGCGGGCCAAGGGGGATCCACCCTTGGCTGTGCCGTTTCCATAGCCTAAGACGTTGGCCCCAGAAACAAAATTGCCGCCAGCTGTCGACAGGGTGTGGGTCCCATGGCCGTTATTGTCGCGCGGCGTGTAGTCGGTGGACTTGAGGTGTCCCCCGGCCGCGACGTACCCCTTGTAGAAGTAGCGGGCACCGATAAGCTTCCTTCATGCATCGAAAAATCAACACACACACATACATATGTATACATGAATAAATTTATTGGAAAAAAGTGAATTAAAATTTGCAACATAACATTTGTAATTTATTAGTTTTCAGTTTACCACCTGTTGCATCGAAAATTGGGATCAAATTCATTTGAGCAATTTCCTTTCCACTTGGATGGGATCGAACGAGTTATTAAGTCGTCACTAAAGCTTTTCGATTCTGGCCACACACCTGGTTAAAACACAATACTTATTATCATATAACAAATGTAGTTCCCTTGCATATATCTATTCTATCTTCTATACTATTACTAGTACAACACCCGTGTATTACACGGGTGCTTGTTAATTTTTTTCTTAAAATTTAAAATTAATGAGAAAAAGTAGTTTGAAAATTTAAATACCTTTTATAAGAATATATATATATATATTATATTTATTATGATACTTTTTATTTGTGCGACTTACTTGTGTTATATTATACTAATTTTTTAACTTACACTATATAACTACATTGAATATAAATATATATCAATTGAAAAATAATGCTTGCTCTCCCGTGGCAGTCCGGGGATTATCGATAAATAATTTTATTTTTCTAATAAATTTTAATAAATATTATTATTTTTTATTATTATAAAGATAAATATAATTTATTTATTTTATATATACAATATGGATGTCAAATCGAAGATCATCAAAAGATGATTAATTTGATATATTATATATGTAAAACCGATAAGAAATACAAAAGTTATCTACTTTTAAATTACATTTATAATTCAATAGCTTATTGAAGGAAGCAAATCAAAATTTAGGGATATATTAGTCACCTAGTGTCTCACTATGTAAAATTACAAATAATTAAAGGGTTATATTAGTAAAAGTGATATTAAAATACCTAAGTTAGCTAAATAATATTTATGGAATACCCGAACCTAGATTATTAATTATTAATATATTAATATTATTTGTCCAAACCTAATTACGAAGCATGATTCTTCGTCAAATAGGATTCCGAAGCACCAGAAGCAGCCACGTAGGCTCAGCGCATTCTGAAATTATATATAGGGAGGATAAAAGTGCCAATGAATCTCTAAAAATATTAATAGCCTAAAATAACCTTATTATGCCACATTTATAATGGCAACTTCGTAATTTTAATACATGTATTTGATAGATTAACTAATATAAAATAATTTAAATACCTAACCAACGTTAGGCAGCGTAGCTATCCGCATAAAATCTGGCAGATCAAACAAAAGCATGCGGTCATGTACTCACGGAAATGCCCCATTAATTTTCTTTTTTTTTTTATGATTGCATTTTAATGGTTTGGATATTTTGTGCTTTTTGTAAGAAAATTGGTCATGTACATAAAAATCAAAGCCATTCTTAGACAAGGATGGAAGAAAGAGGAAAAAAAAAAATCAGTTCTCATAGGAAAAAATGAGATACAGTCACCGGCCTCACGGAAATTGGCCGTCCAAAGCGGCACCACGTCGGTCCTCTTCGCTTTTCTTTTTCGAGTGGTAATGGGTTTTTCACAATCTATAGCCGGATTTATACAAGTTGCTCTTGAAGAAACTTTCAATTGATTTATAAAGTCTATTCGTTTATGTGCTCTTGAGGAAACTTTCGACCTATTTATGAAGTCAATTCGTTTATGTGCATTAATGTATTACTAACTACCAATGGAACTTTGTGTGAGCATACAATGAATTACTAACTACCAATGAAAACTCTTATTGAATGATCTGTGTTTTTCATCGAGTCATTTTAGGTTATTTTCCACGAAAGTTTCATAAATAATATGATAATGGGACTAAAGGGATTTAATGTGCATTATATATAAAGAGAAAAATGGGAAGATATATGTGGGTTATTAAAAGGGAAGCTGATGGGGGAATATGTATTAGTTTGGTTGTTGGTTTTCTTGTATTTTATTTTGTTGTTCTTATTATTATATTAATTGTATTTTATTTTTTCAGTTATTTTGTTGTGTGTGTAAAATGTGTTGGTAGTAGTGAACTGATAAAGAGGAATCTCATTACTGCGAGTACATTGTACAAAATCCAAAATACAGAGAGCTGAGAGCCTATTAAAAGAAAAAAGGAGCAGGAATTAGGAAAAAAAGGGATACTTCCATGTTGGCATTAAAAATTAGGTAGATTTGTTTGAGGAAGACTAAAGAAGAAGATTTCGGATTTTTTTGGGTTTAATTACTTCGTTATTTAAGAAAAATAATCTTTTATATTTAGAATTAGAATTAGAAATTGCACCTTAGTTTTATTGGATTCAATTTTGATCCAACAAAAATTATCATTTATTTGTATTTTCAAATTTTTCGTCGCAAATCCCATAAAGTTAACAAATCTTCTCCTGACCATTATGTGATTAAGATCAAGTTGCATAATATTTTAATTATTGACACTTAAAATATTTGATATTTTCATTCAATTATTAACAAAAATATATCATGACATTTTAATTATTATTGTTTTACATGAGCAATTGTTTTTCAAGATGAAAGCATTATAAACAATGACATTCAAATTTTTGTATATTAAATATTTTATTTATTTACATTATTTTAAGATCCGTAAATACTTTTATGACTTTCTCAATAATTTTGAGAGTTTTAACCGTAAGTATGTAAGATAAATTTTTTAACAATATTTATTTACTTTGATGAGTTTATTAGTAACTATAAGTAAAAATATGAAGTCGATATTACTTATTCTCATAACGACCATAAACTGTAGTTTTATTTTTAACAAAAAAAAAATATAACCTATGAGAAAGAAAAATTATGTAACACTATTAGAGATAAATTGTTGAATAATTGTTTTGCAACTCAAACTTCTAATCTACTAAATGTATTTATTTAAATAAGATTAGAATAATTTTATAAAATTTTCTAATACTAAAAGTCATTCCACTTGTTTTCCTATCGAATACTACTTGAGCAACATGATTTAGTTTTGATCATAAGATTGTCTATAAATTAATTAATATATCTAGAGAATCATGATATGTTTATATACGCTGAA